GAGTGAGAAAGTCGAGCGTTGGGCGATTAGGGTTTGTGTGGTGCGACCTGTTCGCCGCGCCGGCGCCTGAGCCGGTGCAATCTATTCCCCCTCTTCTCTTTTCTGGGAGTTGTGCTTCTTCTTCGCCATGGCTTCATCATCGTCTTCAGCTCCAGAGCTGCTTCCGGCGAAGCCTTGGGCGAGTTTATTCGGAATTGCTGAGGCGAATCGCCTTTGTTACATCAAGCCTGAGGTCGTGAACGGTGGATTGCGGATGCCAAAATCGGTTCGCGAAGAAGGTGCGGCGAGGTGGAAACACTGTCTGGTGGGGCAATTTCTGCAAGAGATTCCTCCATTGGTGGTATTGCGACGTTGGGCGAACAAGATTTGGGGGAGGGATGGTCAGGTTCGGGTCTCGCTGCTCTGTGACAAGCTTGTGCTCATTCAATTGCCGTCGCAAGCAACCTGTGACTGGATCCTGGAGAGTGGACCATGGTTTTACAATGACAACTTGTTGTATCTCCGCCCCTGGGCTCCGGGTATTAGCGCTGAAGATTTGGGCAGGAAGGCTCTCCCGATCTGGTTGAAGCTGTCAAACGTTCCTCTCGAGTATGTCAACTACCAGGGATTGAGCCGCATAGGTAGCTGGGTGGGGATTCCTTTGGGCGTTGACCACACTACGAGGATGGGGCGTCGGATGGGTTTCGCAAAGGTTCTGGTTGAGCTGCAAGCAGAAGGCCCCTTTCCGGATGCTGTAACTATCTGGCCTGATGATGATGTTCCGATTCCGGTCAGAGTCGACTACTGCCATCTTCCCACAGTTTGTCCGGTTTGCAAGATGTTTGGAAAGGGTTGCTGTGACATTGTGCCGGGGCAGCAGGTGTGGGTGCCTAAGGCTCCATCTGGGCAGGTTAATCCGACTGTTGAGCATAGGGCTGTCGATTTCCCATTGATTTCTTCAGATTCTCAGGTGGTGGCAAAGCAAACAGCAGAGCCTCAGAACTCAAATTTGGTTGTTGATTCTCCATCACTGGTTCAGTCTTCCTCCAGAATTACTATAGGGGGGATCAACCTGGATGTGGCATTCTCGGAAGTGACTTCCCCCTTGCCTGTTGCAGGACCTCCACAGTTACCCTCAGAAGCTGAGTTCCAAATGGTGGTTCATGGAGCTAAACCGCGTATCTGGTCCCCTGCACCTAGCCCTACTAGTGTGCTGGCTGGTTCTCCCTCCTCTTTCAATATTTTGGCGGATCAGGATGAGGAGGTCGTTCATTATTTTCAGGATGCTCCCAAACGAGGTAGTAAGAGGTTGGGGCTTCAGCCCCAGTCTTCAACATGAATTGCTTAATATGGAACGTTCGGGGATTTAACAAATCCTCGAAGAGGCAGGACTTTTCCCAGGTCCTGAGACGCCTCAATATTAGTTTGGTAGCTATCCTAGAAACTAGAGTACGACAAGCAAAGTCGGAGGAAATTGCAGAGGGTTTTCTTGTTGGTTGGGAAAGGCATTTGAGTTATTGTGAATCGGATTTGGGTCGGATTTGGCTTTTCTGGAAGCAGGAAGTTAAGGTAACGATTTTGAAACCAGGCAAGAATTTTGTACATACTATGGTACAGGAGCAGGGCGGTGAGATGTTCTTTTTCACTGCGGTTTATGGTGCGAATGATGAAGTAGAGCGTAGAGATACTTATGCAGATATAGGGCAAGTCAAAGTGATGGGTGCTCCTTGGTTAGTGGGAGGTGATTTTAATGCAATAATGAAACCAGAAGAAGCCTCAAATCAGATACAGTTGACCTCAAGTATGATGGAGTTTGATGAATGGCGGAACAACATGGAGCTGGAGAATGTTAACACTCTAGGTCCTGTGTTTACCTGGGTTAACAATCAGCAGCAGAATCCTATTGCTAAAAGGCTAGATAGGGCATTGGTAAATGTTGATTGGCTTACTACTTTTCCTCACTGTATTACTGAGGCAGTGCCAGGTACCTTCTCTGATCACTGTGGTATTTTAGTAAAGGCTAAGGGTTCTGATAAAACACTGCCAAAACCATTTAAGTACTTTGACTTTTGGGGGGATCATCCTGATTTCCTCCCATTAGTGGAGAAAGCGTGGTCAGTAAGAATAGCTGGACATCCCTGGGTTATTGTTCAGAGGAAGCTTCGTGAAGTCAAGAAGGCCCTGATTCAGTTGAATAGGAATCATTTTGCCAATATTCCTACTCAGGTCAAGGAGCTTGAAAAGAGGTTATTGCTGGTAAAGGCAGAGTGCTTCTCTGCACCCACAGAGGATAACTTGACACGGAAGGAAGAGCTGGAATCTCAATTGGAGGTTGCAAAAAAAGCTGAGGAGGGACTGTATTGGCAAAAATCAAGGGAGGCCGGTCTAAAGAGAGGTGACAAGAGTACTAGATATTTTCACCAGTCTGTGAAAATCAGAACAGCCAAAAGAGCTATTCGAAGAGTTAAAACAGAGGATGGTGAGGTGATTGAGGATGTGGAACAGGTGGCTGAAGCTGCGGTGGGTTTTTATCGGAAGTTGTTTGGTGTGGTTAACTCAGAAATCAAGCCAGATCAGCAGTTTCTGACGGGGGTGATTCATAAGCAGCTTTCTCTTCAGAGCAAAGAGTTGTTATGCCAGCCTGTGTCGGTGGAAGAAATCAGGGAAACGGTTTTCCATATGAACATTCACAAGGCGCCAGGCCCTGATGGGTTCTCCTCTGGTTTCTTCAGGAGAACCTGGCACATCGTTGGAGAAGACATTACAAAAGGGGTACAAGCCTTCTTTGAGAGCAACAGGCTCATAAGTGGGATCAATGCCACTGCTGTAGCACTGCTTCCAAAGGTAATTAATGCTGAGACTTTTAAAGAATTTCGTCCGATATCATGCATTAATGTCCTTTATAAGGTGATTGCAAAAATTTTAGCTAAGAGGATTAGTGAGGTGTTGCCTAGTGTTATCAGTCTTAATCAAACTGCATTTATCAAAGGCAGGCAGATTGTAGACAATATTATGTTAGCTCAAGATCTGGTTAGTGGTTATCATAGAGAAAAGCTCTCATCACGCTGTGCTGTTAAGATAGACATTATGAAGGCCTTCGATTCGGTTAACTGGGATTATTTGTTTATGATTATGAGGCTGATGGAGTTCCCTGCTAAGTTTCTGGATTGGATCCATATTTGCTTATCAACGGCTCATTTCAGTATCTGTATTAATGGTGGAATGAAGGGTTTCTTTTGTGCTAAGAAGGGGGTGAGGCAGGGGGACCCCCTCTCCCCCTATCTGTTTGCTGTAGCAATGGAAGGTCTCTCGGGTATGCTCTCTAAGGCCTCTGAGCAGGGCCTGATCCCTTTCCATCCATTGTGCAGCAAAATCTCTTTGAATCATCTTTGTTTTGCAGACGATTTGCTAATATTTACAGTGGGATCAGCTAGAGCTATATTGGCCGTGAAGCAGGTACTGGAACAGTTTTATTGGCAATCGGGGTTAAAGTGCAATCCTGCAAAGTGCTCAGTATTCTTTGGAGGGGAATCAGTTCGATATAAGCAAAATGCCCTGAACTTATCAGGGTTTACTGAGGGTTGTCTACCTGTAAGGTACCTGGGATTGCCTCTTATCTCAGGGAAGTTGACGGATAGAGATTGTGAGGCATTGGCAGCAGCGATTACCAAGAAAGTTAGGTCGTGGAGGGCAAAAACACTTACATTTGCTGGGAGATTGCAATTGATTACTTCGGTGGTGACAGGTCTGCTTCAGTACTGGTTGCAGGTATTCATATTGCCTAAAAAGATCTTGAAGAGGGTTCAGAAGATTTGTATGGACTTTTTATGGCATGGCAGTGAGACAGGAAGAGCAAAAATTGGTTGGGAAAGGGTGGCCAGGCCTAAGAAGGAAGGTGGATTGGGGATTCGGGAATTTAGTTCCTGGAATACTGCTTGTTCTTTACGATTGTTGTGGCTATTGATGATGAAATCAGGTGCTATTTGGGTTGCTTGGACACTACGTTATCGCTGCAAGACGGGAGACATCTGGACCATGAAGGAGAACTCTAATAGCTCCTGGGCTTGGCGGAAGATTCTGAAGAAACGTTCACAGGTGCAGTCTCTTCTTAGCAGGCAAGGAGATTGTGCCTGGTGGGATGGGAAACCTATGGAAAAATACTCGGTAAAGCGGGTCTGGGATTCTCTACGTCCAAAGAGCAGCGCTGTGGAGTGGTATAAGTTAGTCTGGGGGCCAAATCATGTGCCTCGTTTTAGTTTCATTGCCTGGTTGGTTTTACTTGATGGTATTACAACGAAGAGTAAGCTGTTGCGTTGGGGGAAGGTGAATGAGGACAAGTGTGTCCTTTGTGGCCTAGAAAGTGAAACAAGAGATCATCTTTTTGTTACTTGTGAATATACTCGGCTGTTGATGCAGGGGTTTGTGCAGGATGGGTTGGCCCGAGGCTCTTGGGTGGCGACTGTGCAGGCTCTATGTGCAGCAGTGCAGCGTGATTCTCAGCGTGGGATTAATGTTAAATGGTGTCTATTTGTCACTTATATTTGGCAGGAACGCTGTAGGAGATACCATGATGAGGCTCCGCGAGAAGTTCATGTAATTAGAGAATTAATGTTGAGGGATTTACACATGTTAGGTCTGCAGTAGTTGGAGGGTAGGGTGTATTGATGCTGCTGGTTGTTTTTAGTCGCTAGCAGAGTTCCTTTGGTTCTTTTCTTTTGCGTGGGGATGCTGCTTTGGTATCCTTGCTTTTCGTTGTATCTTGGATTGCTGCTTTGGCAATTCGTTACTTAATAAAGGGGTAACTGATTCAACGAAAAAAAAAAAAAAAATTTGAAAAGCCAACCTCTGCACCTATAGACACAAATAGACGGAGATGCTAAGTAAACGAAAAGGTTTGGCAATACCTTTGGACAAGAGTCAAAGTGATCAAATGCACCCATGGCGTAATCATAATGAAGTATGAGCTGTATTTAATCGACAAATGACCTTTCAAGCATGATCTGGGGGGGAAAAGATTATCAAAATAACTTCACAATTTAATGACACCGTCTGCATTACAAAATCAGCGAAAAATGATGAATTCCACATCAAAGGATCAACCCACTTTTGCATAGCCACAAACAACTCCAGAGGGATCAAAAACCACAAACAAGAAATATGAACTTGCTCGCATTGAAAAAAGAAAGCGTGCCACCATGGTAACATAAGGTTTTCAAGATTTCATCATCTTATATACTCGGACTCAAGGGGACCAAATCCTCAGACTGTGATTCAACATCCAGCTTGGCCTTCTTGTATCTCTTTGTACTTTCAGGAGTTGTGTCCAGTGGAATCCTTGAGGAGCTACACATTTAAGCAAGAACACCATAATCTCATCAAATGAACATAGCTAATCTAGGCTTCTTCACATGATCCCATATAAAAGGTAATTGTACTTACAATGATGTCTTCATGCCTTCTTGACCACTAATACCATTTCTCTTCATGCTGTCCAAAACTGATTCAATAACAAATCTAATTTAAGCTTCTTTACAAGTCACTTATTTATCTTCACCTCAACTATATTTTTTTTAAAAGCCAAAAGTCGCTTGTTTGTATAGCAAAAGCTGAAAAAACACACCAATAACTAACCTGCACCACTTTCCCCATCCGAGTAGACAGGAGATACTGAGAGATCGGGATGCATCCCCGGGGAGCTGGCAGGTGATTGGTTGAGTGGATATGGAAAATGATAGCTTTCCAAGCCATCACCAGATGAATTATTCTTGGATAGTGATCCTGCAACAGCCGACTTCTGATGAACCATGGGGTTCACTACTTCCCCTGGATTAGCACCAGAACCTCTCCCACCATTCACTCTGGGTTGCTTACTTTGCGATCGATCCCTCTTACCTCTTTTGCTCTGGGAAGTATTTGTCGAACTCTCTGAATGATGATGCTCTATGCCCTCCTTTGGTTTAACACCATTTGGACGAGTCGGAGCATTTGATTCTTGAGCCTCTTCACAGTGAGGTTTTCGATTATCTCCTTTAGCATATGAAGGTTCTGTTTTCTTCTCTTCTCATGAGGCATTGCATGGGATTCAAGTTCCTTCTTCGAAGTTGGAGGCCCAAGTAACTTGGAAGATATCTCATGAAGGTTTACCACTTTCACTTCCCTTTTCTCTTTACTTTTCATTTGATACCAAGCTCTAGTGACCTCACTAGGGTCTGGAGTCTTCTGACTCTGGTCTTTAGGAATGAAATAAGAGCGAAAGTAGGCTCCGTCAACCTCTCTGGCATTTTCTGTATCATTAACAACCTTATCTGAAAGAGACCTAATCTCCGCTCTATCTAATTAGTTTTTGCAACTCGGATTTTCCAAATTGGTATCATAATTGAATCTGGAAGAATCCGTTCCATGAATGTTGACAGTGTAAGGAGCTGGAGTAATTTCATTAGTGCATATGTCTTCTGCTTGTGTGAGTAGTGCATAATTCTTACCATCTGCACCATGTTTCTTCTTTGTTTTCTTCCATAGGTTCACTTTTTGTGGTTGCCTGTGCAGACTCCATGACGTTATTTATAAACTCCTCTATTTCCTTATCTGTAACCAAAAGAGAAGCCCTCAGACTATTAGCTGTCGCTGCTTCTTTTAAATCTCCCTTTTTAGAAGCTTCATGAATAGAGTTCTTAGCCTTGCATACTTTCTCGGCTTCTCTAGATGGAATATCAGTGGCATAATAATCCGTAACATGATCAGCGTCTGAAGGAATTGGTATTGTTCCACTCATGCGTACCGTATGTCTTCTGGATTTCTTTCTTTTCTTTAAAGCTTTCCCATTATCCACAGATGAATCAACCTTGCATACCATAGAATCAACAACTTCTTTCTGCACATTTGCAGAAATTGTCTCATGGACCTCTTGTTCTGTTTCAACTCTACTCGTATCATTAGTTATTGGTTCTTGAAACTCATTGATATCTGCACCAAATACCAGTTTCAATATCATATATCTATCTAGCAAATGTAGAAGCAAGCATCACTTAGCAAAGCTCAATTGGGAAATGGAGATACCTTGTGAAAGAATAATGTATGTTGCTCTTGAGGAGGATCAGGGTCCTTCTCCGTCAAAGAAACAGTAGAAGGACGCAACACATTGCCACTGTCAATTCCAGCTTCCTTCAGATGTATCTCTTTACCAGCATTGGCCTCATCAGGAGTTAATCCAGCAGTTTTTTTATCTACTTTCTTAGAAGACTTCATTTTTCGTTTCTTCTTCACCAAGCTTCGGCTAGCCAATTGATCGAATGCTTCCATAGAGCTAGCATTTGAGATTTCCAGAGTAGCAACCACATGTTGTTGCTCATCTACTGTAGATAGTTGATATAGAACAGGACGCTTACAAGTCATTCCACTAAATTCCAAAACAATAGTGTTGGTATCTCTTAAAGAAGCTTCATCATCTATCTCCTTTCCAGTTTTAAGCCTCTTGTTTGCTACACGTAGATGGTGTAAATTTTCCTCGATTTCATTAACTATAGAACCCTTGGATCCATCTTTGGAAAATTCCACATGTACCACTTGAGCTTCAGATTCCTCAGCTAAAGCAATTACCACTCCAATTTGTATACCAGCAACGTTTTGGTCTGAGATCTGCACATTACCAACAACAAATTCACTTTTTGGTCCAAATTTGTGCATTTGACACATCAACGTCTTTACCAAAAAGATCATCTGCCCCCTTTTTGCTTCTCTTCCTCTTCTCACTAAGGCAAAGTTGGCCTCTTCAGGCTCAATCTCATTATCCTTAGAAACAATAGAAGCTTCAACACTAACAAACCAACCTTTCTTCACCCCATCAAAGACACTTTTTATAAGAATTGACTCTGCCAAATTATTGTAAACCCCTCTCTTTTTGACCTGCGCAATTCCATACCACAAAGGACATCCATTTCAGAAGCGACCCATTAGAGAATAAGCGACATATAGTAAAAGAGACAAAAACGGTTCATCCCTTCAATGAGTCGATTTTTATTTCTCCAAACTTGGGGAAGCATAGGGGATGCTCGTCCAGAATTTTCTATGCAATTCCGCAAATTGACCATAAAAAAACAGTTGTGAAGTTCATTACGATCATATCTTTGCAACCGATAATGTTGGTTTGATGGAAACAAGACGTGCGATGGAACGATAGTTTGATTACTCTTGAGATCGGCGACGGTGTTGGATGGAGAGACTACCATGTCCAAGGCCAAGTGAGTGTCGAGGCTGGTGTCGAAGAAGACGGTAATGAAGGAATCTGCAGCGCTCCCGTATCCGGTGACCGGGATCGGCGGTTCATCCATCGCCGATATTGTTCAAGAACAGAAACTGAACCAAGAAAGGGCGGGAACACAGGCTTCGACGGCAGCGACGATGAGTAGGGTTCAGGGTTTGTTCTCTTTCAACCAGCTTCTCGTGAATTGGCGGCAGAAAAGAAAGAATGAAAAGAAATCAATAAAAAAGAACCGCTAAACCCTAAACTAAATCGAAGAGAGGGTTGAATGGCCAGCGTAGTGATGTGCGTGAGCCCAAAATTTTCATGAGCCTGCTTATGGCCCAGTTTGGGTAATACAAAATTATAACTTCGTGCTTACATTCATTTAACTTAAGGGTGGAAACCATCTACATCTATCTACAAAAGATATAAAGGAGATTCATGTGTTGAGATTACAGCATTTTGAATTTCCAGCCCTTAGAGCACTTCACGGAGGGGCATTTTTGTCATTGAATTTTATTAAATGAGGCTGTGCGTTTTGATGCTCTCCGCCCATCATCTACATCAGGCCAACTCTTCTGTAAGGATAAGGGATGCGTCATTGGCCCAATACCCTGTATGCGGCCCACCGTTTTTTTCGAGCCCAGTGCCATTAAACGCCGGCCTGGCTGGCGCGCTCTCTCTCCCTCTCCAATCTCGATTTCACTTTCTTATTTTGTTAATTTATATATAGCGGTTCATTCCCTCAAGCAACCCAACCTATCTCCTTCACCGATTTCGTTATCCACTACTCTACCAGTGAAACATTTTATTTTACATAAAACCCAATTTGCCTTTTTCATTTGCTATATCCCTTTATGATGTTAAGGGATCTAAACTAAATCCAGCCTTTTAGCTTGAATTTTCCACACACACAAAAAAAAAATGCTAGGCAGGGTTCCATATATTACTATTGATAATTGATGTAGGATAATAATTTCACTCATTTTGAAGGAGGCCAAATCGATTTCATTTATTAGCTCGGTCAAGAAAATGTGTTAAGAGTTAATGATCGGAAACTGGTTAAGGTATATTACTATTAATCATTGGTGTAGGTACTAATTTGACTACTTTTCAAGGTTGCCAACTCGGTTTCAATCATTGGCTCGGTCGAGAAAATGCGCAGAGTTAATGACGAAAATCGATTTAGCTCCAAGATATGGAAAACCCATTATATTGTGCACACACAACCACATATGTATGTGTATATGTAGTGTTTTCTATCGTGTTTTGCGTAAAATCAAAATGTAATGCATACCCTTGGTAAGAAATGGCAATCTAGATTTTGAATTAATCAGATTTCGGGGCATGATACTATACCCTAACCCTTGACGAGTGAACCCTAGGTCTTAACTATTTAAATCATAGACCCTAAACTAAGGATTTTAAAATCTTATCAAAGGTTATAGCAAATAAGTCGGCAGTAGGGTATTTTGTGTCGAAACTGTGGTTTAACCGTGGTTCAGCCATTTCATATCACTAAATAGTGTCTATCGGTTTAGCATCTGGTATGAGGTTTTCCTGTCAAACCCCAGGTATGGTAAGGATATTTTAATCCTTTCCCTAAACACCAAGATGATGCACATAATTTGTTGGATGTATTTCTACAAAACATGACCTTCGATTATTATTTCTAATTAAATTGATCTTAGTATATGAGATTCATAGAATTAAGTCATAGATTTAATCTCTAAGGGTTTAGGGTAAGTACCACGTCCCTAACTCCGATCAATTCAATGTCTAGATATCATTCAAGGTCTATATATCATCTAATTATGTCATTTTCTTACTCAAAGTATGATAGAACCACTCATACTTATAGTTGTGTTTATCCTGTCGGAAAGTCATTTGTTTTAAATGTTAGTTGGTCGTACTGCAATTTTATCAGGGTTGTATGTTGTTTGAAACATTTTGAAATTGATTAGTCAAATATTTTGAGTACTCCTATACTATTTAGGGGTAATACTATATTTTGGACCGAACTTTGACGTAAATAACAATTTTTGCATGAACATTCAAACAAGATAATTTTGTCCAAATTTTGAAATAAATTAACAAATTTGACCCGAAATTTAGGTTGATTAGTAATATTGATGGTTAAGCATTTCTTTTGTCAATGTTATGGTGGTTTTGATGTGGATTTCACTGATTCATGTCATAGGGGTGATGCGCTATTTTGCCTGAACTTTAACGTAAGAAACAATTTTGCTCTAAACTTTCATATAAGACAGTTTTGTACGAATTTTCAAAGAAATTGATAAATTTGGCCCAAAATTTAGGTTACGGTTAATATTGATGGGGATTGGTACAGAGAGATAGTTCCTTGCATTGGGATTTTTAGGGGCTAGAATCAATTTTTTTTAATCTAATTTATGCAAGTAAATATGAAAATATTAGGATAAGCTAAGTGTCATATTTTGTGGTCTTTTTTTTCTTCTGAAATTTTTTCACTTTTTATATTTTTTTAGATTTATAAATAAATGATGTAGAAGCCACATCGCAACTTAAACATCTCTATCACAACCGTCAATATTAAAGATCAACCCAAATTTCGGAACAAATTTGTTAATTTGTTTCAAAGTCCGAACAAACCTGTCTTATTTTGAAAGTTCGAGCCAAAATTGTCTTTTACGTCAAGTTCATGTCAAAATAAGGTATTATCCCTATGACATGGAAGCCACGTCGCAGTCGCAGTACAGCCACCTCAGCATTGTATGTTGAATCATGGATGAAGAAATGTTTAACTATTAATATTGACGGTCAAGCTAAATTTCAGTCCAAATTTGCCAATTTCTTTCAAAATTATGAAAATTGTTTTATTTGCAAGTTCATGTCAAGATTATCTTTTACATCAAACTTCAAGGCTAAAATAAGGTATTATCCCTATTATTTATTGTCAACTTATCAATCAAAGTAGCCATTGAAAGTGTCAGCAGCACCGACTAAGACAAACATATATAACAATTGCTGGGGAAAAACATATATAAATCATAATTAATTACACTCAGTCTTAAGTTTGAAGCTCTCTTGAGAGCCCCGACTATTTTCTAGGCATCTTTGGGGACTACGGACTAGCATGCTTCCCCAACTAGCTGACCCTTATTTTACTATCTATGAAGAGGATTAATATTGAGCGTACCTATTAGACATCAATTACTACTATCTACGAAGAGGAATGACGTACCTATTAAACATAAATTAGGGTTACAAATGATCCCATTACTAAACTTTATGAGAGACCAATCTTTTTTTTTCCTCTTGAGAGTTCATTATGTATGTTTTAGGGGAAGCAACTCTAATCTTGAACTATATGCCCTTCTTAAATATTGAAACCCAATTATATGTATGTTTTTTTTTCCTTCATTGAACAATTGAATTTCTTTCTCCAACCGGATGTTTTATCTTCTTATTATATTGTAAGCATGTTATATATATATATATATTTTTGTCTAAACTTTCCCGGCCAAGAGGCCGGGCCCGGTGCTAGTGGTTATCTAAGAATGAAAACTATGATTAGCAAGATTTTCAATCCGTGGGTCGACCGCCCTGTCCCGGTGAGAAAAACTAGAGATGTCAAAATTGAATCTGACCCGATTAACCCGCCCAACCTATTCGACCCATGCACTGTTTGTTACCCATTTTGACTAAAAGTCAATGAACTGTAAACCGTCCGTAACTCGAACGCGATAAATTTGTTAACCGATTGACCTGTAACCTAATTGATCCATGACCCAATTGGGTTGTAACCCGTTTAAACCATAATCCGACTAACCCATAACTCGATCAAACCCATAACCCGACCGAATCCGATCTGAATACCCCGAATAACCGAACTGACCCGAATTAGTTGATATCATTATAAATTTATAATTACATAAATCTAAACACGCGAAAGAATCCCACGTCTATTTCACAATCATTTGTATCATAAATTTATGTTAATGTATATTCAACTTATATGTTATAATTCTTACCAAAGAAAACTTATGTGTTATAATTAATAGTTAAAATAATAAACTAATAAGCTTTGTGATCGTCAATTATTCTAATATGCTTTGATCTTGTCACTCCGTCGGAGATATGAAACATACATATGTTTTTATGATTTTCGTTAAACTATAGACTCATCTGCTCACACATAAAAAAACCAATCTAAATATAAATTGGTAACAAAACATCGTAAGACATCAAATCATAAATGATAACATCCCAAAATCAATTTCGTTCAAATGAATAAAATGTGAAGATTCATTTATAACGAGAACAAAAGACACTCCCAAAAGAATCGACAATCCATACTAATTAACATCCTCCAAATAATAGTAAATAGAAACCGTATCCATCGAACTGAAAATGTCTAAAGCAAAATGAGATTGGATCTAGCAATCAATCACGACATAAGCTCCACTTCTTCTCCTCTACTTTCTGCATCTTCTTCATCTTCCTCTTTATGTTGAACCATTCTAATAAAAAGCAATTATAAATACACCATACAAAATAAAAAGATAGTTATAACTTATAATCATAAATTACTTACCAAATTCATATCCATAAAGCCAATTGCGAGTAGTCACTACAGCTTCAAGGGTGTCACTTAGCATACTACTTCTTCATTTGTTTAATACTCTACCTCCCATGCTAAAAGACGACTCTGAAGCAACTGATGTGATAGGAATACCAAGTATATCCTTTGCCATTGGAGAGAGTTGAGGGTAACGATATTGATGCTCCTTCCAATAATTTAAGACATCAAGATCATTAAGATACTCAACACCATCCTTTTCCAACATACGAGGTTCCCTTGGATCTTCTAGATATATTTGCAATTCAGACTTGCCTAATGTATTCATGTTCACATTAAAAGTATCAAAATCCTACAAATAATAATACCATAAAGTCAACATCATAAATATATTGATATGAAAAGTAGATTTTTAGGACGATTCACTTCTCAAATTATAAATTATACTAGAAAAATGTGAAAGCACACTTTAAATTGCAACTTACACTAGTGAAGTTATCCATGCTCCAACTTGAACTAGTCCTTGTGCTTGAGGTACGGCTTCCTCCACTTGACATGGAAGACAAAGAAGAACTAATTTTGTACTCCTCAAAAAACATATTTAGTTGGTCACCAATATCCTTCCATTTCGAAGTGTAATCTCCACCCAATTTTGCATAAAGATACTGAACAAAATCAAGCTTGCAACGAGGATCTAGAATAACACCAAAAGCAAGCACTGCATTGTAATCCTCCCAATACTTCTCAAACTTTGACATCATCGCATTCCCCATAGTTCGCAGAACACCATCATAGCTTGTAGAAAGTTGTCTCAATTGGAAATGAATCTGGCAAACATTCTCAAAAAACAAATTGATTGTTGGGTACTTGGTACCTGAGAATAACTTGGTGATTGCATCAAAAGGTCTCAAGAGATTAGCCAGTACAATCATTTTCTTCCAATCTAGCGGTGTTGGACAATCCTTATAGTACTTATCAATCCTTGATAAATTCACAAAGGCTTGGCGATAATAAATTGCTCTGTCAAGCATCATAAAAGTTGAATTCCATCTTGTTGGTACATCAAGCCACAATCATTCCACCTTGTTCAACACACTCCCTAAACTGGATCTTTCTCCCTTCAGATCCCTCTACATATTTGACACTTTCTCAGACACATCTGATGCCATCCCTTATCACTTTCAACCCATCTTGCACAATAAGATTCAATATATCCCCATAACAACGAATATGGAAGAATTTTCCATCACTCAACAATGCATTTTGTCTATTTAACTGCTCACGCAATTCATTTTGCATATTAGTCATGTTGCTAGCATTGTCCATTGTGATAGCAAAAATCTTATTGTCAATACCCCACTCCTTCAACATACGATAAATAGTAGTTTTCAACTCAAAAGCCGTATGTGGAGGAGGAAAATGAGAAAAAGTTCAAAAAGCTTGCTATTCAACTTCCAATTCTCATCCACATAATGAGCAGTCAAGCAAAAAAAGCTTCTACTTGTCAATGATGTCCACGGATCAGTAGTCAAACAGATAATACTAGAAATCTTCTGTAAATATTCCTTTAATTCATCTTTCATTATTGCATGCTGCTTTACCACATCAGATTTCAATGTATTCCTCGAAATTGGCTTAACCATACCATTCAAATAAGCATGCAACGATCTATTTTTCTTATGATCAACCCATCTGAATGGATAATCATGTGAAATCACTGAATCAATCAACTTATCACGAAACCCCTCTTGAATTATCTTATTGTGACCACAAATACCACAAGAATCAGGTCCATTCTCTTCGTCAAATTCAGCAGAAAGATTGTTTGACTTACGTGCTGGTTTATGAATATGGCTATGTCGCCTTAGGTTTGATGTGCCCAAGTTTGAATAAGCGAAATACTCTTTGTCACAAGTTAAGCACCTTGCTTTCTTTCTTGCCTTTCCCTCATGCACGCAATCGAACAAATCAAAATCTCCCCAAACATCCGATGTGCGACGAGAACCAGACTTGTTTGGACAAGATTTCCTTGATCTTGATATTGGGGTTGAACATGTAACAGACACGTTCTCTTCATGCTGTTGTGGGTTACTATTACCTTCACCCGAGACATTAACATCCATAAATATCTGCACAAATAGTGAAATAGAGACTATTTTTTTTTTTTTTGCATCAGCGGAGGCAAAAGCCACAGAAGCAGAAATTACAA